ACCCACAAAACAGCCAGAAAAAAAAAAGAGCAAAATGGCGGTAATAACTCCCTATATATCAATAATAACCCTTTATGGGCCAAGCCTATGGCACACTCGGGAGAGTGCAGTGCTGGGAGCGCAGCGACGCTCCCGCCACGGGTTCGGATCCTATATAGGAATGGCCGGTGTGCTCACTGGCTGAGCACAGTGTGGGCAACATCACACCAAGGGTTGCGATCCCCTTACCAGTCACGAAAAAGACTAATAATAATCCTTACCAGTCACGAAAAAGACAAATAATAATAATAATAATAATAACCCTTTATGTAAATGGATCGAATGTCCCAATTAAAAGACACAGTGGCTCAATGCATTATAAAACAAGAACCAAGAATATGCTGCCTACAAGAAACTCAACTAATAAAGGCACACAGTGGTTGAAAGGGAAGGGATGGAAAAAGATATCTCATAAAAATGGAGACCAAAAATGAACAAGAGTGGCTATACCTATATCAAATAAAACAGACTTTAACCCAAGAAAAGTTAAAAAAGAAAAGATAAGATTATTATATAACAACAAAAAGATCAATTCAATAAGGGGATAAAACAAGTTTAAATATACATGCACCCAACTCTGGAGCACCCAGTTATATATAAAGCAATTACTATTGGACCTAATGGAAGAGATTGACTCCAACACAATAATTGTTGGAGTCTTTAATATCTTACTTTTAGCAAAGGACAGATCATCCAGACAGAAAATTAACCAGAAAACATCAGAATTAATCTCCACTATAGGCTAACTTGATCTAATGGACATTTATAGAATATTTCATCCAACAGCTGCAGAATGCACATTCTTCTCAGCAGCACATGGAACATTCTCCAGAATAGACCATATGTTAGGACACAAGTCTAAACACGATTTTAAAAACTGAGATCATATTAACTACCTTATCCAACTAAAATGGAATAAAACTAGAAATCAACAACAAAAGGGACAGTAGAAACCATACATATCCATGGAAATTAAACAATATGCTCCTAAACAATGAGTGGGTCAAAGAAGAAATCAAGAAGGAAATTAAAAAATTGCTGGGACAGGGGAAAGCAGTTCTATGAGGGAAGTTTATAGCAATAAATACCTACATCAAAAAAGAAGACTCCAAAAAAACAGTACCTAACGTTACAACTCAAGGAGCAGGAAAAACAAGAACAAATAAAACCCCAAATCAGTAGAAAGAGAGAAATAACATAGATCAGAGAAGAAATAAATAAATTAGATATTAAAAAAATACAAAGATTGATGAAACGAGATGGTTTTTCACAAAGATAAAATCAATAAACCTTTAACATGACTAAGAAAAAAGGAGAGAAAAAGAAGTGGACATTACAACTAATACCACAGAAATACAAATGATCCTAGGAGACTACTACAAACAACTATATGTGAACAAACTGGAAAATCTAGAAGAAATGGATAAATTCCTGGACACATACAATTTACCAAAATTGAATCATGAAGAACTAGAAAACCTAAACAGACCAGTAAGGAATAATGAGATTGAAGAAGTAATGAAAAGTCTTCCAACAAAGAAAATCCCTGGACCAAATGGCTTCACTGCTGAATTCCACCAAACACTTGAGGAAGAACTAACATCAATTCTTCTCAAGCTCCTCCAAAAATTTGAAGAGGAGGGAATACCTCCAAACTCATTCTGTGAAGCCAGGCAGGATTACCCTCATACAAAAAACAGAAAAAGATACAACAAAAAAAGAAAACTACAGACCAATATCCCTAATGAACATAGATATGCAGATCCTCAATAAAATACTAGCAAACAGAATTCAGCAACACATTAAAAAGATCGTACACCATAATCAAGTGGGATTCATCCCAGGGATAAAAAAGGACAGTTCAACATATGCAAATCTATAAACGTGATACATCACATCAACAGAATTAAGGAAAAAAAATGCATGACCATTTCAATAGATGCAGATAAAATCCAGCACCTCTTCATGACGAAAACACCCAACAAGTGTAGAAGGAATGTACCTCAATGAAATAAAGGCCATATACAAAAAACCCACAGCTAAGATCATAATAAATGGATAAAAATTGGAGGCTTTGCCCACAGGATCTGGAACAAGACAAGGTTGCCAACTTTATTCAGCATAATACAAGGATCCCTACTCTAAATACATAATACTGCAAGTTCTAGCCTGTGCGATAAGGTAAGAGAAAGCAGTGAAGGGCATTCAAATTAGAAAGAAGGAAGTCAAACCATCCCTACTTGTAGATGTCATGATCATATACACAGAAAACCCTAAAGACTTCAAAAAGTTGCTAGAACTAATAAATGAATTCAGTAAAGTGGCAGGATACAAAATCAACACACAAAAATCTATAGCTTTCCTATTAAAATGAAGCAGCTGAAGAAAAAATGAAGAAAGTAATTCCATTTGCAATACTAACAAAAAAATGAAATACCTAGGAGTAAATTTAACCAAGGAGTTGAAACACCTCTACAATGAAAACTATAAAACCCTGGTGAAAAAAATTGAAGAGGACATAAATAAATGGAAAGACATCCCATGTTCATGGGTTGAAAGAATTAACATCAAAATGTCCATATTACCCAAAACAAACTACAAATTCCACACAATCCCTGTCAAAATACCAATGACATTTTTCAGAGAAATAGAGAAAAAGATCTTAAAGTTTATATGGAACCAAAAAAGACCCCATATAGCTAATATAATCTTGAATAAAAAGAACAAAGTTGGAGGCATCACACTTCCTGACTTCAAAATATACTATAATATACTATAGTAAACAAAACAGCATGGTACTGGCATAAAAACAGACAGACAGATCATGGAACAGAGTAGAGAGCACCGAAATAAACCCGCACCCCAATTGATTTCCAACAAAGTTGCCAAGAATACACAGTGGAAAAAGGACAGCCTCTTCAATAAACGGTGCTGGGAAAACTGGAGATCCACAGGCAGAAGACTGGAAATAGACACCATCTCTCATCATTCTCAAAAGCTAATATAATCTTGAATAAAAAGAACAAAGTTGGAGGCATCACACTTCCTGACTTCAAAATATACTATAATATACTATAGTAAACAAAACAGCATGGTACTGGCATAAAAACAGACAGACAGATCATGGAACAGAGTAGAGAGCACCGAAATAAACCCGCACCCCAATTGATTTCCAACAAAGTTGCCAAGAATACACAGTGGAAAAAGGACAGCCTCTTCAATAAACGGTGCTGGGAAAACTGGAGATCCACAGGCAGAAGACTGGAAATAGACACCATCTCTCATAATCAACTCAAAATTGATTAAAGACCTACGTTTAAGACTCAAAACTATGAAACTACTAGAAGGAAACATAGGGGAAAAACGGCATGAAATGGGAGTGGGCAGCACTTTTTTGGGTGTCCCTATGTTTACAAAGGCGCAGGCAACTAAAGCAAAAATACCCAAATGGGGCTACATCAAACTGAAAAGTTCCTGCACCGCAAGGGACACCATCAACTAAGTGAAGAGACAACCTACAGAATGGAAAAAAGTGATTGCCAGCTACACATCAGACAAGGGGCTAATATCCAGAATGTATAAGGAACTCAAACAACTTAACAACAAAAAACCCCCAAATAACACCATTAAGAAATGGGCAAAGGACCTCAACAGACATTTCTCAGAAGAAGACATACAAATGGTCAACATTCACATGAAAAACTGCTCAATCTCGCTAATCATCAGGGAAATGTAAATTAAAACCACAGTGAGATATCATCTCACTCCAGTTAGAGTGGCTAATATCAACAAGACAAAAAATAATAAATGCTGGCAAGGATGTGGAGAACAAGGAACTCTCCAACATCACTGGTGGGTGTATAAATTGGTACAGCCATTGTGGAAAACAGTATGGAGCTGCCTCAGAGAACTAAAAATAAATCTACCCTTCAACTCAGCTATCTCACTACTGAGTATATAACCAAAGGAAAAGAAATCAATATATCAAAAAGACACCTGCACTCCCATGCTCATTGCAGCACTATTCACAATAGCCAAGAGATGAAATCAACCTAAATGCCCATCAGTGGATGAATGGATAAAAAAACTGTGGTATATATATATACACAGTGGAATACCTCTTGGCTATTAAGAAAAAATGATATCCTATCATTTGCAGCAACATGGATGGAACTGGAAAACATCATGTAAGTGAAGTAAGTCAGGCATAAAAAGACAAATTACTGGGGCCGGCCCCGTGGCTCACTCGGGAGAGTGTGGCACTGGTAGTGCTGAGGCCACAGGTTCAGATCCTATATAGGGGTGGCCGGTGCACTGACTGGCTGAGCGTGGTGTGGACGACATAGTGCTGAGGGTTGCGATCCCCTTACTGGTCAAAAAAAAAAAAAAAAAAGATAAATACTGCATGATATCACTGAAACGTGGAGTCTTAAAAAAAAAAAAATGGTTCTCATAGAAGTAGAGTAGAATAATGTTACCAGAGGAGGGGGATAGGGGGAGGAAAAGTGGTGGACTAATGGGCACAAAATTATGCTATCTACTGTAAGTGAACCATTATGCAGTATATTGAAACAACATACTGTATCCCACAAACATGTACAAATAAATGTTAAAATATTATGAATTTAAAAAATGCATATTTAGGGCCGGCCCAGTGGCGCACTGGATAGTGCGCCGCTTGGGAAGCGCGGCGGCGCTCCCGCCCGAGGGTTCGGATCCCACATACAGACCGGTTCCCGCTCACTGGCTGAGCGAGGCGCGGGAGCAACACTGAGGGTTGCGATCCCGTTGCCGGTCCCCGGTCCGGTACGGGGGCAACACTGAGGGTTGCGATCCATTGCCGGACACGGAAAAAGACAAAAAAAAATAAATTAATTAAAAAAATAAAAAATAAAAAATAAAAAATGCATATTTAGCAAAAGAAGGAAGGAAAAATGAGATTTGAACAAGAGGGGTTTTACCTTTTCTGCAATTTTCAGAGAAACATCTCTAATGGTATTCAAAGGAGGATAAAGCCGGCCCTCTTCTAAGTGTTCATCTGACACTTGCTGAGCTATAACCTTAGAAAAAAAAGAAAGAGAAAAGAAAAAAACATTTATACTTTATACCATACAATGTGGTGATTATACAGTGGATAACTAAGTGAACGGTCACATATATGGACATGTATAGAAACCTAATTTTGTCTGCCCTTCTATCAGTGGAAACACTGAGCATATACAGATGTGGCGATTGTTGGGATCACACAATTAGTGAAAAAGATGGGAATAGAATTCAGGTTTCCGGGCCAGACCCGTGGCTCACTCGGGAGAGTGTGGCGCTAGTAGCGCCAAGGCCGTGGGTTCGGATCCTATATAGGGATGGCACTCACTGGCTGAGCGTGGCACCGTGCCGAGGGTTGTGACCACCTTGCCGGTCAGAAAAAATAAAAAATAAAATAAAATAAAATAAAGAATTCATGTTTCCTTTTAGTCCAGTTCCTTTCCTGTTATACCATGAAATGCTGGATATTTTCCAATTGATACACTAGGGTAAGAGAGAGAAAGTAAAGAAAGGAAGAGGAGGATGATAGAAGTTATGGAAAAGGACGCTGAAAGAATAGGAGGACAGTTACCCAAGGCTGAGCATGCCATTACTCCCAGCTCACATATTCTTGCACAGGAGGTAGAGCAGGAAGCTAAGAAAGCTATTTCAGAGTCATATTACAAGCAGGATTTTAATTTTACACATATTATGGATTATCTGAATCACCTAACTAGCCTCAGCATTTGCTGTCCCCAAATCATTCCCTGGTTCTAAATTAAAGTGTTTATTTGTTGAACCCTACTAAGGCAGAGAGGTAGACTCAGAAACCTTGAAATTCCTTCCAGCTCTAAGATTTTGATTAAGACTTTAGGTGAAGTGGATCTAAATCATCTTATACCTTGGCCTTTGTTCAACAGAAATGTGAATGCAGAGAGGAAGTAGAAAAACTTCAATTGCAACACTCTGAATAATTAAACATTTATTTTTCAGTATCTCTTAATATCTTTTAGATTTTTTAATCATGAAATTATTTCCAATATATTGTTTTGTTGACATTAGCAAATATGTTAGACTCTGAGCAAGCATACTAGTTGCCTGTGCCTTTGTAAACATAGGGGCACCCAAAAAAGTGCTGCCCATTCCTATTTCATGCAGTGTTTCCCCTATATTTACTTCTAGTAGTTTCATAGTTTTGGGTCTTAAACGTAGGTCTTTAATCAATTTTGAGTTGATTTTTGAGTATGGTGAGAGGTGCAGTCTAGTTCCAGTCTTTTGCATGTGGATCTCCAGCAAGCATAATACAACAGAGAAGTTTTTAAAAGTAGTTCCTGTCTTTAAGAGATTTATAATTTAGTGAAGTAACAGTGTATAGGAAGAAAAAGAAAATAGTGAAAGAGAAGACAGCCTAGGCTAAAGGTGAGATATGAGTGTTGAGAAATCTAGAGGAAGAAGGTTATGCAAAGCTTCATAGTGAGGGTGCTTGAGTCTGGAATTGAAGGAGAATTAGGAGTTAGACAAACAGGGAAGAAAGGAAGGGCATTACAGACAGAAGACACAGTCAGACTTAAGACAGAAATGTCTATGCTGGACTCAGTAAGCCCAAGTGTCCTGATCTGAGGAAGCAGAGGGTCTGTGTGGAGAAATAAGGCTTGGAGCACAGCCAATGACAAATAAGGAGTTTGGGTTACATCCTTTGAGTGACTGAAGACTTCTGACAAAGGACATTTAGACAGAGGTAGGAAAAGGAGAGAGAAGTGAAGTTACTAGCATAACTGCTATTTGATTAATACTACCTTACATATTCTACAAAAATTATAGTATATAAATATAATCACAGTATTGACCATAGTAAACTCATTGTTTAACTCATTAATTTCTTGTCTTTACACAGGATGTTGAATAAAACTTTTCCTTTACCCTAGAATTGGTGACAGGGCCCCAAACTTTGGAACAAAGAGACATTAAGTGTTCCACACTATCAGGAAGCCACCAAACAAGTGGAGCCTGCCATCATCCTCAGAGCCCACGAGATGGTGAAATCAACCCTGCCACCCCCACAACCATAGTCACCCCTGTCCAGATAAGGAGAGTTGGTGGAACTGTGAGTTAGCCCAGTGGGTAATGAATGCAGTGGCTTTTTCTTCCCTTCTTGTTGCATGTCACCCTTTCTTGAAAGCTTGAGGTGTCTTCAAGAAGGAGAGATTGGCATTCTGTGCCCCAATTAGCCTGAACAGTTATAGATATGTGTATTTAAGTAGAGCAGCAAAGAATGGGAAAGGCAGAGTCAGACAGACGGAGTGGCTGTTAGCAGTCTGCACTGCCATCAGTGGATCTGGTATAGGCTCATGAGTTTCCAAGGTTGAGTGGCCACTGCAGAGGAGGCCCATGCAGCCTGGGAGACCTGAAGAAGAGTAAAGAGACTGAGCTGGAGCCAGGCCTCCCATGTCAGGGTCCTCTGAACTCTCACACATGTGTCCCATGAGAAAGTCAGATTTGGACCCTTCCCCAGAGTGCTCGATGGCCTGAAAAGCCTAAAATAGTGGAGAATGAATAAAAAAGATGTTTGCCTTTTCTATATCCTTCCTTCCTATCTCCAAAACATCTGAAGATGTAGGCATGGATGAGAAGGGGGTGGAGGTTTTTCAGAGTCTAGCTACACACTTTCCCCCAAGCTCCCCAATGTGCTAGTGTTGGAGGAAGAGTAAAAGGAGAGTCTTCCCTGCCTGCTACTGCAGACCCCTTGTACATCAGAGAGAGATGATAATTGAATTGCATGTAAAATTTTAAACTGGGCAGATGTTTATTTATTGTTCACTAACATATCCTCAGCACCCAGAATAATGCCTAGCACATAGTAGGTACTTAATTAATACTAGTTAAATGAATGAGTGAACTGAAAGTTATGGGATCTTACCAAGACACCATTAAGAGAAAGAAAAAGGAGACTTGATATATAATTATTTAAAACAATGATTAGGGCAAAATAAAACCATTTAACGTGAATTCCACATTGAATTGAGACTATTTTTTGGCGGCTAGCTGGTATGGGGATCCAAAGAATGGGATCCTTGACCTTGGTGTTATAACACTGCACTCTTATCAGCTGAGCAAACTGGCCAGCCCTGAATTGAGACTTTTTTAAAAACCTTGTAACTCCTATGTGGCAGGTTTAAATCAGCTGAAATTCCTTAGATGTTAAAGCAAAAACGTCTGTGCATATCTAGTATCCTTAATTCATTGGATAGGGAAAAAATAAGTAGCACAATGCTGAAAATGTTGAATAACATAGTGGTTGAAGACTCAGGCTCTTGCAGAAAGTAGGCCTATGTTTCAATCCTGATTCAACCAATTACTATCTGTTTGAATTTGGGCAAACTAATTACTTTTCTAAGCCTCAGTTTCCTCATAAGTAATTCAGAACTAATAACAGTTCCTAATTCACAGGACTAAATGAAATAAATGTCAGCAAATAATTTACCACAGTGTCTGTCAAAGTAAGTGTTCAGTGAATCTTAGCTGTTTAATTTTAAAAAGAACAAATATGCAGCCGACATGGAAAAGTGGAAGTAAAATAGCTCTGGAGGTCAAATCTAGCTCTACAATGTACTAGCTTATTAGCTATCTGATTTGGGTCCAAGTTCTATAACCAATCAACTTCAAATTTTTTCAACTGCTTATATAATATAACATGTATATTGCACCTATCACCACTGGCACATTGCTGGCATTCAACATCATTGATTTTATTTCTAGAATGCTACATAAATGTCATTTTAAAGAGATTAGGGATAGTTAAAAGATGGCCGAGTAAAGAAGAATCATTCTAAATCCTCGCTTTCCATGTGTGTCTGTCACAGAGAGAAAGAGAGCCAAGAAATTGTGGAACTGGTCAAGTAACAAACAGGTGACCATGAGGAGCCTCACTAAAATATAAGGGATAGATTCAGGTGGTAAACGGATCCTAGGCTCACTCTCATCTATTGACTCATTCACTCAAAAACTATTTGCTGCCTTTGATGTGCTGTGGGTTTCTCTAACTACACTGTGGCTGATCTCAAATAATTTCTCTCTGTTTCATTCTAACAATGTTACAGTGACTGGGTTTTCATTTATCCAGTGAATTAAGAGACTCGAAGGTCCCCCAGATGCTGCTGTCTCTGATGACCATCTCTCGTGTCCTCTGGGCAGATATTAGAAAAAGGTGGAGGAGAGCATATGAGAAGACACCAGCAGGTGATTCAGGAGGAGTGGGGTGAAGACAGGAAGCCAGGGTTTGTCTCCTAGGTGTGAAAAGGAGATGAGGATTCTGTTCCCAGGCTACACTGAAGACTACTAAGGTCCAGGAGGGCTGACCCAGAGGAGCATTGTGTGCTGTCATCAGAGGTCCAGACGACTGTGCACAGTGTCAGGAAAGCCAAAATTATCCAGAAATAGTCTTTGGGATTGTTGCCAATCCATGAGATTTCTAGTTCCATAAGAAATACAACTAGTATTTATGACAACAATCTTAACAGTTTTTAAATTTGGGGTTGCCAAACAAAAAATTCACCTAGATCTCCTACATGTTACTTTCGTTTACTACAAAATGTACTCCAGACAAGAAGGACTTCATTCTTTATACCCTCTGACAGTGAGTGTCTGTGGTATTGTATTTATTCTTCTTGCTAAGATATATGACTAGTTCTAGTTAATTCAACTCAGTAAGTATTTACTAAGTGTCTGCTTTGTGCTTAGCATTGTGCCACGTGCTACTGGAGTTTTGAAAGAAATATATAAAAGACTCTCTGTCTTTAAAGAAGATATTCTACAATTTAATTATAGAGGCAACAATTAATCTCTTAAAATATGAAGCTCTCAAGAGCATAATATAACTAGGAATAAAATTAAAAGTTGAAGTGTTTAATAAAGACAGCCGTGGCTAAGGATAAAGATCAAGATGAGCCAGACTTGTCACAAAAGGATTCAAGGATGAGACAGGATTTAAGCAGTTCCCTGAAAGACAGGCTTAGATAGGTGGAGAATAATTCTCAAGGCTTTCCAGGTGGGATAAGAGATAAAGCAGTTACACAGGTGTTCATATGCATGGTGTGTTGTACAGCTATGGGATAAGGAAGAATAAAAAGGTCAGGCTTGTAAGCTTTGATGCCTGGGTTAGAAGGGGGTGTCACTAATAGAAATGTGAATGTTGAGGGCAAGGGAAGATGACAAGTATGGTTTTAAACATGTTGTATTTAAGGACACTGCAGAGCATTTCTGTGGAATCATCCAGTAGATAGCTGGAAATATGGTAAAAGATCAGAATACAGATACACCGATTTGGCCACTGTTAGAATGAAGATAATGGAAACAAATGAATGGATAATATCTTTGAAATCATAAGAAAAAAGAAGGAAAAAGGTGGGAACAAAAAAATGAATGCTAGAAAAGAAGCTCTTAGTTAAAAGGGAGATGAAAAGGAGACAAAGAAAACAATAATTGAGGTGGTATGAAAAACAGGAATGTTGTGTTGAAGCCTAAGAGAAAAAGTGGAAAGATGTAGCCAGAGAGATCACCAGCTATGATAAGAGTAACATTATTGACATCACCACGTTTTATTTTTCTCTTCAAAATTTTTTGGTAGTAATTATTATTTTTCCAGGAGAGTAAACTGAAAATATTTTTCATGAAATTTGTCACTAGAGGGTGCTAGAGTTATTTAGGAAAAAAAAAAAAAAAAAACAAAGGCAACTGCAAGTAAAAGTTTTTTTTTTTTGACCGGTAAGGGGATCGCAACCCTCGGCATGGTGTGGTCTGCATCACGCTCAGCCAGTGAGTGCACCGGCCATCCCTATATAGGATCCGAACCCGTGGCCTCAGCGCTACCAGCACCGCACTCTCCCGAGTGAGCCACAGGGCCGGCCCAGAGATCATTTTTTTAAATCTTCAAATGAGCCTATTCTAAAAGACAATGATTACATTTTCTTTAATGTAAAAACAGCTTTTAAAATGGTCTCTTAGTAATTACATATATACTTATGTTTAACAACTTTTTTTTAGTTAAAGAAAACCTGAGAGATCAGCTGTCATCCTTTTAATACAGTGTAGAAAAATATAGAAACCGAACACTCTAGCTCTCAGACATCTGTTCTCACAGAATGATGTCAAGTGCTAACCACTGGTACTAAGCTGCTTTAGATCATATCAAATAAGAATCTTTGTCTGTATTGTTGGGGTTCCTCTTCACAATGGAAAGAATAGCATGTTTGCAGAATAAAAATGTTTGAATGTTAATCGAGTTTTATTTGGTTCGCTATAATGTTGTACAGTGGTTTAATTTTAAGAGGAAAAATTCACTCAATTTTCTTGTTCATGAGTTGCATCCTGTTCAAATCTGAATACATGATATCAACCAGATGAACATTCTGACTATCAAAAGCCTGTGATTTTACAAATATATGCCCAATCACTCTATCACCATGCTGAGGTTCAGGGAGCAAGGAGAACTGATGGGAACATGCAACTCATGATATCTCTTGTAACATGAATAATTATGCCCTTTGTCTCAGTCCTAAAAGTTTCATGTCTTTTGCCAGTATCTATGAAACCGTGGCTAACTTCTTATCTTGCAATAGGGTATAATCTCACATCTTTCACAGTTCTTGACAGTACCAGATTCCCTAGTGGGCCTGGTCTGTGATGAAAGAATCTTTCCTGAAAGCCTAGATGAGAGCCCACTTCTCCCGTCCTTTAAATGATTTTATAAACACCTAATTCCATATTTTAATTTCATTTCTGTTCAAATATTAGAGTGGTTTCTGTTTTCTGCACTTAACCCTGAAGGTTACAGACTTTCATTTTAAACCTTCAGAATTCCACTATTTAGAAAGATTCTCAATGGAGAAATATTTACCACTTAATCACCATTTGGAAACAATATTTTTAATTGTCTCATTACTGTCACAGAATTTCATCAGATGTGTGAAGATAAAAGAGGGCCTCTTTTAAGAAAACAAAACATAATTTTTCTAATGGCTATTGAAGAAAAGTCTTTCACTAGTGATTCAATATGAGCCAGCTTCCCATCCATTACTCTCCAACTATGAAGATTTCCTCTTCAGATTCTACTTCTAGAGAGTGAGCTGACGTGCTAGATAAAACATTAGACAACCTAGGCTGAGCACACTTGATACTTTATAGTTTTGGTGAACTTAGAGTATTTTATAATACCTCAGCAGTAGTGAGAAAGATGTGATCTGTGATGTGCCTCAATCCACATGCCACAACACCAAGAGCAACTCCAGGGAACACATAGGCATTGTTGCCTTGACCAGGATATAGGGTCCGTCCATTTGGAAGAGTGACGGGATCAAAAGGACTGCCACTGGCAAAAATTGCACGCCCCTATAACACAGACACATACAACTAACTTTAAAAAGAAGCAGGATATTTTAAAACAAATGTATCATAAAAGAACTACCTCATAGCCAAAATAATGAGTTCTTAAAAAGAAGCCTAATTTTTCACCAACTTCCTAGTTAAGTCTAGGAAAGCTTTTGCGATGTTGGACAACAATTCTGGAATGGGTGATTATTACTGTTCTCTATCTTACTCTTTATTCCTAGGAGAAGTATACAAAATATAGGATACCCTAAGACCATCACCCTGTTCTCTGTAGTGGTCCAACCCATAGGCCCGTTAACCAATTCTACATAGGCTTCAAATGATAGACCTGAAGATTAAAAAAAGACAGATTAATATCAGAGTATTAGAAATAATGACATTTTAGGTTAGAGTTTAGGATCAACACTTTCCCAATGTAATGACTGGGGCAAACTATATATTCCTATACTGTAAAGTTATATGAAAAATCACATAGGAAACAAACTCATCAGCACAGGTGGAATTATCAAATAATAGAAAGATTATGTTATCAATAAATTTCAACAATGTCTTCATTTTTCCTAGTATTAATATTTTGCCGTAATCATTTTGAGGAAACTCACGTATTACATACTTCAAGAAGGCATTAACTTAAAGCCTGTTAGTACATTTTATACTGCTAATCAGAAGAAGAGCATTTGTCTAATCTGTGAGGGTGAGAGTGGCGATATACTTGAAAGTATTAAGGCTTCAAGTAGGAAAAGGAACACTGAAAAAATAAAGCATTTTGCAGTATAAGAAATCCATTTGAAAATCTAAAGCACCAAATCCCCAAAGCATAGTTTAAATGATGACAAAATGGGCTATAACTTTCATACCTCTTAGATCTAGGGTCAAGATCTATTATGATATTAATAATATTAACTTAATATTCATTTTAAACATGTCATAATATACCTTTTGGTTCTTTTAAAAGTTGTATAATATAAAATTCAACCTTCTTCAGGACATAAAAAGATGAAAATAGATGAGAGAGAAAATAGAAATTCTCAATTAGTTTCTATAAGACACTTATATTTTACAGACTTAGGTTTTGTTTTCAGACAAGTCTGATACCTGAAGCTTTGTTTAGCAGATAAAACATTTCATTACAAACAACTTTCTAATGGAACTAAATTATTGTTTCATATATGAAGGGCTTTAAAAATTATATTTGACAAAGAGGCCTGCAACATTATATATCACCCTCCTCCCCTTCATTCCCATTCTTCCTGCCTATCTTTCTATAGTTACAATATGTTATGGAGGAATGGCATTAAATAAATGACAGTAGTTGCTAAACATTCTCATACCTATGTATTGTTAATATGGAAAAGGAAATCTCCCTACACCATTTTTGGAATATATTTTTCATGATTCAGTAATCTTTTTGTATATTAACCTTTCCTAACTATCTTTCATCTGTGCCTGCAGTAGCTGAAACTCATATCTAGCAATTGTAGACCTTTCCTCTTCCTATAATCCTTCGGCCAAACCAGTGTCCAAATTTTCAGCCTCAAAATGACTTTCAATGTTTTATGTATAAAAGCATCAAACATTAGGCAAGATCACAGGAAACAATTTTAAAATTCAAATTTTAAAACTAACATATATTCGGCTAATTTTGTTTATGTGTATTACGGATGAGTCTCTAAACCGTTGAGGCCTACTGAGATATATTAAGACAAAATAATTAACTAAACACTTGTTTATTATGTGCTACCATGTGCAAGGCACCATGCTAAAATTTTGTTACTGCTTAAAGGGTTTTTTTTTTTTTGCTTTAAAGATTCAAGGACTATTGAAGAATGTGAGGCAAATTCCTCAATCCAGATATGAGATAAAAATTAAAATTAGTGAGAACATTGATGCCATCCCAAGTAAGAGATATAAACAACTGAGTGGCTCATTGCCAAAAAGTCATTAATTCTAGTACTGTAATAAGCATTTAAGGATATATTATTGAAGACGTAGAGCTATCATATTCTGATATGTGCAAAGTGACATAACTTTGTGTCATATTTACCTTCTCTAGTTCATTTTGAATTTATTTCTAACATAAAAGTTTTAAATAGATATGACTCAATTTTGTGGTAATGATATTTCAAGTCTTTGAAGGAAAAAAGGCTCTTGTCAACATATCAGTAAAATATATATCAGTACAAACACAGTATAAAATAAAGCACTTTTTTTGAAACAGTAAAGTACTGAAGCATTGAGGACTCCTATCCCAACCTGGCTAGATGTCAAGACAGCTGCCCAAATGCCCCACCCATGGCATCAAAATCCAAACCCAGGATTTAGCAGGGCAAAAATAAGACTGTGGTTTTATTCTGTATGCTTCAATGTTTGGAAATAGCTAGTTAAAAGCTACTTTATAATAAGCATTTAGAACCAAGCTTTTTCCTTTTTATTTAACTTTTATGTTTAAATCTTAGATACTTCCAAATCACTTGAGGAAAATTAACACTAAAAAATTACAAAGTTTATTTTATTTTGTTGAATAAGAGAATTTATATAATAACATTCTAGAAAAGGAAATAGTTCATATCCCTCTTACCTGTTCACTTTTCATCTTGGCTGCGTAATTTTTAAAAGTTAAGTGGTCAGTGTCTTAGATTTCCTAGACCTCCCTACAATGAATCAAATTTTGATGATTAAAATATCAATTATACTTTTGCTTTACCTTAGTTATTTTATAGCACTGCTCTGCAGAACATTCTGCTTTGCTAGTTGGATTACTCAAAGCAAAAATAATAGGCCGTTCATTGAAAGCAGCCATATCTTGGAGAATTTGTTCTGAGAACGCACCACCAATTGCAGCAACTCCTAATGAAGAAATGAGAAACCAGTTATTAGTACTATCATTGGTTAATTCATCCAAGAAGCCCATGTCAAAAAACAATGAGATATGTCAGGTCATTTTCTAATAGATCCTAAACAAAATATAGAATATCTGTATTAAAGTATAGTGATAAAAATAGTCTGTGAATGCCAACAATCTTTAGGGTCACAATCTACAAGTATTTATAAAAATTACAGATATAACATTTGACTCATAATACACTGAGTTAACGGCCAGTCACGTGGAATTTTGATTACAGGCATTTGTACCAGGAAATTAAAATCTGTTCAATATATATACTCTCTCTATGAACAATCCTATATTTCAGTCTGTCAGGCTATAAAGCAATTATGATTTTACAAACCAATGCTAACATTTAAGGCAATCATCTGATTTAATTGAAAAATTGAAGTATCATTCATTGAAAGAATTTTAACAGAAGAATAAAGCAATTAGCATAATGGAAATAAAAACTGGTAAGATTACTGAAAGAACATATTTTGTAAAAACAATACTAAAAGCTTAGTATAGTTCCTGTCATGGAGTAAGTAGTTTTTTTATTGTAGTTATCATTATTCTCAATAATGTCATCTGTTTCACAAGAGCTTCTAGGCATAGAGTATGATAAAAAGTAAAGACCAACATTATACACATGCAAAATAAAGGATAAAGTTCCAAAACTTCCGTTGAGTTTTTTAACCACATTAAATTTGACCTTATTAAACATCTTACTGTGTACATGCAATGTGTAAGTACTGTGTTAAGTAGTATGAGGAATACAAAGATAGGTAAGATGTGATCCCTACCTTCCAGGAGGGTCTAGTTCAGTGTTTCTTAGCCTCAGCACTATTGACATTTTGGGCTGTATAATTCCTTACTACAGGGCTGGCTGTCCTGTGCACTGCGGGATATTTAGCAGCATCCCTGGCTTCTACCCCCCAGGTGACAGTAGCTCCTACCTTCTCCCTAACCTCCCCCTCCCAGTTAACAACAACTAAAAACATTTCCACACATTGCCAAATGTTCTCTGGGAGGCAAAATCTCTCCTGTTTGAGAACCATCATCTGTCTGGAGTAATCAAGCCTGAAAATGTGCTAAATATGCCAAGTATTAGCAGGCTGACAGAGTCAGCAGAAGAAGCCACACACTTCAGCTAGGATCAGTAAGAGTAAAGAAGACAACACTGAAATTACAAATCTATGTGTCTATGGGGTACTGCTGCTTGAGTGAATGTGTAATTTTGTTTGTAAATTCCAAGGGTTAGAATTCCAAAAACAATAAATTATGCCTCAAGAACAGGTAGTAAGGGAAAACCAATCAGGCCAAAATGGGAAGTCGGGGGCAGGGAGTAGGGAGGAGAAAAATTTACCTATGAGGGCAGTTGGTTTTATTTCTTGAACAATGGCTTCTAGGTTCTTCATTTCTTCATGTTCATGGGCAAACTTCTCCTTCTCTTGTGTTAAGGAAGCACGTCCCTAAGTAAAGCAAATAAGAAGAAATGACAAATCTGCCAAATATATGTGAGTCAAATAAATCTCAGAATTTTATATATATTACCAGTATGCTTAACATTTCTACGTACTATGTGTTCTAGCTATTCTTAAAGACTCTTTTCCAACTGTCAGAGTATTATTTCATTAATTCTTTCAACAAATATTTGTGTGTCAGCCAATGTTCTAAGCAATGGGGATATAACAGTGAACAAAACAAAGTCTCTCCCTCATTTAATTATTTAATACCAAAAATCCTAATTCTACAAACATTTATGAGACACTAGCATTAACAGATGGTAATGCAAAGTATCACTTGAATAACAATATGTTTACTACACATTATTTCTGTTGTATAGCAGAGTCTCAGAATCTAGAGTTGGCTTTAGTTGCAGCACTCCCCATTTATGTACCATTGATTAAGAATTGAACATGAATCCGTATTTATATCATCATAATCGTTAGATTTTCTGAATAAGTGCTAGCTTTATATGCTTTTGTCTGAATGTTTTGATTATGAATATCCTATGCATTGTCTAGGAAACATCTAATTATAATATTTTTGCTACAAACTTTTAGGATATGTTTACATAATAAATCACTGCCTAACTTTATATAAAGTTAGTTATTTTCATATATTTTGTTTGATCCTCTCAACAACTTTGAGAAGTAAGGCAAGTATAATTAGAGTCATTTTGTATATCAGGAAAATGAAGTTCAGAGATATTAAATGATTACTCAAAGCAAGGCATCATACTCAAAAGTCTTTCCAGGATAGCAGAGAACTGCCCTGGAGAAAAGGCTTTACAAATGGCATGTGTCAGATTGTTTGCAAATGGTTAGTTCTGAAGATGGTACAGTTTTCTTGCTTTAAAAGGTTACTGTCATTTTGTTTGCTTTTAAAAGCAATACACTGAACTATAGAAAATTTGAAACATATGAATCTCTTTGTGCTTGTTTCCTCCTCTATAAATAAGGATAACAGGAATTTCTACCTTATCGTGTTGTTTGTAGGTTAAAAGAAATAATACATGTAAAACACTTGGGACCATGCCTGGTTTATAACAAGAGCTCAATACTAGTTATTGTTATAATTTAAATTATTATGAAAAAGGAAAAAAATCGTAACTCCAGCGCCTATAATTTCGGTACATTTTCTTCTAGTGTCTAATAAGTGCAATTTTTGCACCACTGTTTCCCATTGTAAGAATGACATTAGGTTGGATGGCTTCCTAAAAACAGCATTCACCATTAGTCATTTCTTGGTTCTCAAAGTTTGTTATCTTTTCTCCCTGTACATCAAAATATACTACATCTCAGACACTGTAAAAAAGAATTTTAATTCACACACAATCAAATTTGAAGCCTACTGTTTCATATTCACTTTAGCAGAGAACATTCTAGTCTCTAGTAATATTGTTAAATATTTTTAGTCCATATTCTTGTTCATTATGCTTACTAAAGAAAAAATTAGTCAAAAAAATCATATAATTTAGTTTCTACTTTCATTAGGAAGCATCAAATTGTTCAGTAAAACTCATCTAGGGTCATAGCCTTTTTAGAATTAGTCACAGGTCCAAAAGAACAAATAGTTGCTATAAACCTAGACTGATTTTGTGAATGAACACTAAATATTCTCAAACATTTCTTCTTTTGTGTTTATGAGACAAGATTTTTTAAAAGTACCTTTTTTTTTTTTTTTCCTTTTTATCTTTTTTACTGACCAGTAACAGGATCGCAACCCTTGGTGTCGTGCCCGTACCGGGGACCGGCAACGGGATCGCAACCCTCGGTGTTGCGCCCGCACCGCGCTCAGCCAGTGAGCGGGAACCGGTCTCCACATGGGATCCGAACCCTCAGCGGGAGCGCCACCGCGCTCCCAAGCGGCGCACTCTCCAGTGCGCCACCGGGCCGGCCCTAAAAGTACCTTTTGAAAATATTTTTTAAAAACTGACAATATTGAGATCTTTATAATTTTCACAAAATTTGCAGGAGTGGGTGTCCTACCTGTTACTCCCATCCTCATCTCTCTCAGCCTCACGGCTGTGAAATTTATTTCATTTACATATCTCAATCACAGAGATTAATTAAGCATAACTCTAGCATGTAAAAGTGGCTAACCTAATGATAATGCATTAGTCACAAATAAGAAAAAAGAGGTAATTGGGGGTGTCAAATAATTCCCCTCAAATATTTTGGTAATTATTTGACTTTGATTTAGAGGAAGTGGTAGATTTGAATGGCCCTAATTCTTCATCATCCCTTTCCTGTGTTAATATTCTTTGCCATGTAACTTTACAGTTCCTTCCACAAAAGGCAGAGTATACTTTCTTCCCCCTTGTCTCTGGACTTGAATGTGTGGCTTACTTTGTTCCATACAATGTGGGCTGAAATGAGCATGTGCCAGTTCTAAGCCTAGGCTTTAAGAGGAACTGGTGTTTCTGCTTGCCCTCTTGTACTCTTACCATAGCTTTAGAAGTGCATGACCTGGACAGACACAAGATGGCAGATAGTGTGGAACTAAAGCAAATGGTTATGAGCCTTAGAGTTTCTGAACTCCAAGTACCATTGCACTATGCTGGGAGAAACAAGCATGGACGCAAACACAGAGTTTTCACAAAAGCCCCACATTTGCTAAAGGCTGGCTGTAGTCTTGCTGTACAAATGAAAATTAAAGAACTCAAGAGGTGGCAGTTCCCCCAGAAAATCATGATGACTGCAGACTTGTCCATCCCCAATGTATATTCAAGTCCTATGCCAGCAACTTTTATCTCCATCTACCATTCTACAACTCACTTATGATGGTCACCCTGCATTATCACTGGTATTCTCTGTTTCTCTTCTGGGACCTAAATATGAAACGGAACTTCTACATCTTACAGCAGCTCTTCACCCAGTCCATCTGGGTATAAAACTTCAAAAATCAACATTTTATGATTTACTGGATGAACTGATGAAAACCACCCAGTCTAGCATCAGAATATTTCTGGGGCCAAATGTGACTTCACAGTGCAGGTCCAGTTAAGAGTTTTCTTTTATCGGAAACGAGTTGTCCACAAGAAGATCACTTCCCTCCCAATCTTTGTGTGAAAGTGAATACAAAACCTTGCAGCCTTCCCAGGTACCTTCCACCTATGAAAATGGTGTGGAACCAAAGCAACCCACCCAACCAATTGATATCCCTTCACTTGTCCGACTATCCACAACAATTCCAAGCATCATTGTTGTTTCTTGGACTGCAGACATTGGAAGAAACTATTTCATGGCAGTATATCTTGTAAAGCAGCTGTTCTTAACAGTTCTTCAGAGGTTATGAGTAAAGAAAATAAGGAATCCAGATCATTCTAGAGCTTTAATTAAAGAGAAATTGACTGTGGATCCAGACAGTGAAATAGCCCCAACCAGCCTAAGGGTTTCCCTACTATGTCCACTTGGTAAAATGAGGCTGACAATTCCATGTCGGGCCCTTACATGTGCTCATCTGCAGTGTTTTTTGATGTAATTCTTTATATTCAGATGAATGAGAAAAAACCAACCTGGGTTTGTCCTGTCTGTAATAAGAAGGCTCTGTATGAACACCTTATTATTGATGGATTGTTTATGGAGATCCTAAAGTACTGTACAGACTGTAATGAAATGCAGTTTAAGGAGGATGGCTCTTGGGCACTGATGAGATCAAAAAAAAGTAGTACAGGAAGTTTCTGCCTCTTCCAATGGAGTTGATAAATGCTTCAGCTCCACACTGGAGCATCAGGTGGCTTCTCACCACCAGTCCTCAAATAAAAACAAGAAAGTACAAGTGACTGACCTAACCATAGACAGTTAATCTGAGGAAGAGGAAGATGTGGAATATACTATAAAGCATATGCACTTCACAGGGCCTGGTTTTCCAGAGCCTTGTAGTTTCAAATATTGACCTTGCAAGGACAGGAAATTTTCCTCAGGCTATAAGTCTCTGTTGCAAGATAAGAATTGTAGCACAGCAGGTTGCTGGCTCAAGGACAGAATAGTTACTGATTGTTACGTAAAGATACTGAGATTGCTGTAAGAAGGAATGTTTGCTAAGATCAAGCTTGTGTTGATAAGATCACTTAATTGTTTACTGGAATGTCATCTGGCTTGTTTCACTGAAAGTTACCAGCCTATACTGTTAAACTATAACCCCACCTTTGTTCTCTTCCTGTAACTTCCTTGTCTGGAAAATAAATGCAGGAAGAGAACCCCAATTTGGCATTACTTTCCCAAGGAAGGGATCCCTCTTGCTTGAGGATTCCAGTGGGAGATTAACCACTTCAGGGCCTCTCACTGCTCAGAGGCTTTGAGTAATCCTTTGCGTCTGCATCACCCAGGGGAAGTTGGGTGACAAATCCATGGGGGGCAAAGCAACACAAAGCAACAAGAAGAGCCATCTGCCAAGAGGACCTGTCCTTCCCCACCACCCACATCACCACTAACTGATAAAGGCATTTTAAGTCTTCCACATCAAGCATCCCCAGTATCCCACACTCCAACCCTTCCAGCTGTAGACACAAGCTACATTAACACCTCCCTTATCCAAGACTACAGGGATCCTTTCCACATGACACCCATGCCTTATGACTTACAAGGACGAGATTTCTTTCCATTCTTATCAGGAGACAATCAGCATTACAACACCTCCCTGCTTGCTGCTGCAGCAGAAACAGCAGTTTCAGATGATTAAAACATCCTACACTCTTCTCGTCCCCCCCCCCCACAAATGTTTCTCAACCAGTTAAGCACAGGAGGCAGTACTTCTCTGCCAACCACTAATAAAGCCATAGTGGAAATAACAACAGCCTGGTATCCTCCAACAGCCTAAGAGAGAGCCACAGCCATACCATCACAAACAGGAGCAGCACAGACACAGCATCCTTCTTTGGCATTATACCAGACATCATTTCATTGGACTGATTCCCTTGTCCCTGATGCTCCCATCCCTGTCCCAGATTAAATGAACTTGGCAG